CTGTGTTGGAAAGTGGCCCCATGCTAACGTCCAGGTGGCCTTGGAGAATGCCAGAAGCCTTCCTTCAGAAGTAAACTCAGAGTGTGGCTTCTGCCTGGGTCTACACAGCCCCTTCTTGCTTGATCTGCAGAATCAACACTTTATTAGACACGCAAGGTCTGTTGTGCTTCACAAGATGCGCACTTAACATCTGGTTCTCAGCTGACCTCACTATAAAACAGACACAAGACGCAGCTCACAAGAGTTCAGTAAAAATTTCTGTGTAGAAGTAAACTCAGAGTGTGGCTTCTGCCTGGGTCTACACAGCCCCTTCCTGCTTGATCTGCAGAATCAACACTTTATTAGACACGCAAGGTCTGTTGTGCTTCACAAGATGCGCACTTAACATCTGGTTCTCAGCTGACCTCACTATAAAACAGACACAAGACGCAGCTCACAAGAGTTCAGTAAAAATTTCTGTGCTTTTTATTTATTTTTTAACTCAGCACAGGAGAATGCCAAGAAGAAATTCCCATATCCTGCTATGATGCTTAATGGATCAAAATTCTAAATTGGATGCTTTTCTTTTCTTTGCTTGAAGCAACGAAAGAAATAGAATGTATTCTCCAATTACAAACAGTGGTTTATTAGACTCCTAGCATCTTTATTTTCCAACCCTGGCACCAGAATATTGTAGTTAGCATACTATTAAAGAACTGCCTGCTTTTCTTTCTTTTTAAAAATATTCTATTCGTTACTTTTTATTTTATGTGTATGAGTGTATTGCCTGCATGTATGTGAGTGCACCCGTGTTGTGCAATGCTGTGGAGGTCAGAAGAGGGCTTCGGATTCCCCTGGAACTGGAATTTAGGAGGGTTTGTAGCCACCATGTGGATGCTGGGAATCAAACCCGGGTCCTCTGCAAGAGCAGTCAGTGCTCTTAACCTCTGAGCCATCTCTCCAGCCCCTGCTTTTCTTTCTTAAAGTTCATGGGCTGCTGGTAAGGTACCATACAGCTGTGTACAACCAAGAAAATACTGGAGATGCACAAATGCAGCAGGAAATTAACAATGCAGGAGATAATCATGTTAGTTATAGATAATGCATTCAGCGTTTAAAATAGCAGTTTGCCACCCATGTGTCATTTCACTCCAGATGGTTAGAAGAGCACAGGACACATTTATATACATACACATATATTAGAAGGGAACATAAAAAAATCTGTTAATAGAAAAGTACTGAAAAAGGAAAAAAGATCTGTAATTTAAGATAAGTGAGTTTGTCAAATTGCCTTCATCTATATCAAGCTCAAAGCTATTTTTATGTATTCAGTAAAAAAATATTCTATTTGATGAGATAGCAAATAGAATTGTAAAGTCTTTCCAAAGTTTTGAAAAGACCCCAAGGTTCAGGTTGAAACAGTTAGCTAGGACTTCTGGGGCAAGTTCCACCTTTGCCAATGATTTTGTTTTTCAGTGAACATCATTTTGGAAGATCATCAACTTCTCTGGACCTCTTATTTCCATGCTGAGTCATGAGCAGTGACAAAACTAATCAGCGATATTCTAAGACTAAGCAGATACAGCTCACCTTCCTTTAACAAGCAAAATGTAAATAGATACTCTAGAATACACAATGGTTCAGTCATTAAGGAATTTAAACGGGATCTGGAAGAATGCAGACAATCCCAGTAAAGATGAGCTGAGATTCTGTGCAACTGTGTAAGGGTTACTGGTGCTGCCTCTCGTGACCACCAGCTGAATCTTGTACCAACACCAAATGGAGATGCAGAAAACACTAAGTTGACTTAGGGGCTGTGCACAGAAACCAAAAGGCAGGTAAGTACTAAACATTGTTGATAGCACCACCCCATGAAGGACTTTACCTTCCAGGAGTTCTATACTACACTGCCCAGTGCTAACACGACTGACTTTACCCTCTGTGCTCCATTTGGCACTGCATGTGGCAGTGTCTCCACCTATGATAGTGATGCAGCCCCTGGAAGTAGTTTTCACCACCTCATTCATGAGGGACTTGGTTTAACATTCCAAACAGGGTGCCTCAGATTATTCTTGGTGCTCTCAGACCACAGTCCAAGCCCGTCTGGCCAGCAGGTGTACCAGAGACCACAGCAGCTTGGCCAGCCTTGCCATTCTCATCAAACATGTCAGCAGTGACAAAGTCACCAGGCGAGGTGACCTTCACACCTTTTCTCTCAGTTTTGGACATGCGATCTTTAACAATCTTGGCTCCGTCATGGTGCAGAAAAGTGCCAATCTCCCCGTTGTTGAGTACTTTAAGGAAGGTAAAAGCCATTCTACCGCCAAAGATCGTCTCATTGACTTTGTCCAGCATATTACTGACCAACTGGACCTTGTCTGCAACTTTAGCTAAACCCAAGATGGCCAGAAAGGGTTGCTCTGTGTTCTTGAAGGCCTTGGCAAGTTAGTCCAGCTCCTTTATCAAAAATCTACCAGCCTTCTGTGGCAGATTGACACTCACCGCAGAGCTGTGGGCTCAGTGGGCAGTGACAAAAACATCGTTGACACTCACATCCCCTAGTGTGGACAGCGAAGCTCGGAAGGCATCTATTTTGTCTGGTCCAGTTTTAACCTTGTTCCCAGAAGCATCTTTACCTTCCCTTCTTCCTCCACATGAAAGTGGAAGTTCTCCAGCAGATGACAGACCCAGCTGCCAGGTTGACATGGGCTCTGTCTGCTTCTGGTCCCACAGAGTTCTTAAAGAACAGAAGATCCTTGTATAACAGAGGTTTGGGTATTGCACCAGCTGGCTCTGAGGAGTACTTATTAGGCATGGGAACACCATCAGGCTGGCCCAGGTGGCTCCCAAGGACAAATGACTTTGCTCCATTGTCTAAGCAGAATTTGATGCTTGGGACAGCACCCTTGATCCTTTGGTTATTTGTTATCTGGTTGTTCTTCACAGGAACATTGTCATCCATTCTCATAATGACATGCTTTCCTTTCACATCCAGGGTCAGTTGGTTAGAAAGCAACATTTTGGCAATGGGGTAGAGGTCAGAGGCCGGGAGCTGAGGAAGAGGAACTACAATGGCTGATGGGTGCTCAGGAAGTGTCAACCACATGAGTTTTAATTATGACTCTGAAGAGACTAGCTCCTACCAATTCTATGAGAGCATTCAAGACATCACCTGTGGCAGAGGCAGCACTGGTCTATTGCTTTCTATTAGTTGGCTCTTACGAGTTAGGGCCTTGCTTGCTGAGAACCTATGTGACCCTATATGAGACTATTAAGTTGTTTAATCTTCAATGTGCTAAAACAGCATCTTCTGTGAAAAGACAGAAACAGTTAAAAGCAGAATCATCACCATAGGGATTATTTATTACTATGTGGTAATCTGTGTGTGTGTGTGTATCTATGATGTGTATGTATGGCGACACGTGGCCACCATACATATGTAGAGGTGAAAAGACAAGTCTGTGGAGTCTGTTTCTGTCTTCCACCTTGATATGGGTTCCAGGGATTAAACTCGGAAAGCCAGGTTTGCCCATGAAGTGCCTTTACGTGTTGAGACAGCTCACCGACCCACCACTGGGCTTTTCTACTTTACTCTGTAGACTGTGTGGAACTGTTTGTGTGGTGGCGCCAGAAACCTGAGTTTTCTACTTCCTGCCCCGGGAAAGTGGCACTCAACTGGAAGGATTTTCTCCCAACTCAGAGATATTTGTGCTTCTTTGTGCTGGACTGGGTGCTAACGGGCATAAGCCAGAAATACTCTGAAACACCCTGTGATGAATGAGACAGCTTACCTTGAGAAAGAACGATTGGGTGAGTCCCTGCAATGACTAGCTGGATGTGTCAACACGACTGGGTTATAGAACCCAGCTGCTGAATTGAACATTAATGCTGGGGTTGCTGTGGAGATGTTTTGTATCCGTGGTAATATCTTCCTCTCAGTGACTTTAAGTAAGGCAGATTATACTTAGTGTGTGCGTGCATGCGTGCATGTGTGTGTGTGTGTGTGTGTGTGTGTGTGTGTGTGTGTGACCCAATCAGCTGCTGGCCTGAAGAGCTAAGCCTGAGGATTCCCAAAATGGAAACCAGTGGATCACATGTATGATTGGTTCTGGAAGATCCTGCTGTGGACTGCATGTTTGTGACCCCTAAAAACACTTCTATGTTGAAGTCTAAATTTCCCATGTGTTAATGGGGATATGTATTTGGTGATTAGGTCATTATGGTGGATCCCTTGAAAAATGGATTACTGCCCATAGGAGGAGAATGTTTGCTCACTTTCTCTATTCTCTGACAAGTGAAGATATAAAAGCATGCTCATTTACAAATCAGGATCTGGGTCCTTACCAGATACAGAATCTGCTGCACCTAGATCTTAGTCTCTCTAACCTGCAGCACTATAAGAAATAGTTTTTTTCTGCCTTATCCCTCAGGACTAGGTACTTTATTATAACTGAATGGACTATGACAGCTCCTGACTGATGCAGTTTCAACTGTCAGTAGTGCCATGGCTAGGAATCTACATTCCTGGGGGGAAAACACTGCCAGGCAATGAGGAATCCATACATACAGTCTTAGTCCATCTTTGTGCTCCTGAAGCCAGATACGTGCTTATGGATCTCCAGAACCCTCTGTGAGCGATGTAGGGCTCTTCCCCTCCTGCTTGCTCAAGTAGCTGGTGCTAGGCACTGCTAATGTCTGGTGATGCTGGGAATCTATGGCATCCTGGTCTCCTAATGGAGGCTTTGCCCCAGAGAGAATAAGTGGACAGAAGGAGCACAGGTCAAATCTTCCCTTTCTTCTCTTTTGAGTGTTGTGGCTCCTTTCTTCAACCCATGGCACCTGGCTCCTTTGCCCTCTGCCCTGTACTGATGTTATTTGAGGACTGCTTTATGTGTCACTCTGGAGTAAAGCTGTGCATCTCTTCCCTCACTAGGCAGGGGACTTTAATACCCATCATGGGCTTTTGTGCGGCATAACCCATTGCACACATACCTTACATACAAAGCATGAAAACAGAGATGTTATCTTTCAGTCTTGAACTATCGATGGCGTCAGGTCTCAGATGCTACATGAAATGTTTCAAAACTAGTGGGATGAATTTTAAACCTTTGGGATTTTCTGTGACAAGAGATTCAAAGGCAGTGCCGACCCTGCCAAGATCAGTGCGAATAAATGCTTCTTTGTGTGAGGACTCCCTTAAGTTGCACCATTGTCTATGAGGAATCCGAGTGGGAAGGACGGGGATAAGAGGATCAAACACTTGTAGTGTTTCTTTCATGGCGATCCATGTTCCTGCCGCCTTTCTGCCAGAGGCCTTGTTTGACAGCTGACTGTTGCAGCCAGCTCCAAACCCTCCCTGAATCAAAGCCTCACTGTCAAATGGGTCTCTGTATGGGGTTAAAGGCTGTTGGCCTTTTCTAGCTCAGTGGCCCACTTGGAAACAGAAGTGAAGTTTCCCTCAGGCTACCCTGGGCTGCCACCGTGCTTGGAAAGCACTGTGTCGGCAGGTGATAGGTGTCCGGGAGCCTGGGAGCATGCCACAGTTGAAGCCCTATGAGGTGGGCATTGTAGGAGTGAGGGAGAGTGTCCCAGGGAGCTGTCCTCTGAGCTGATGACCTGCTTTCTCCAAAAGGATCTTTTCCTTTCCCTCTTTCCTGGATGTCAACCAATTATCGCTCCCACCCACTTCTTGCAGCTTTACTTTGTGGATGACATTCTTGTTTTATTGTTCTGGAAGAGCTGCAAACAGGAAAACCAGCCCACAATATCAAGAGGTTTGAAGACAGACTATCTGGGGAGAACAGGGTGATTGGAGTTGACAGTCAGACTTGGCTTCTTGAGGTGTAGGCTATTCTGGGTCAACCACAGCTTTCTTGGGAGGACAGAATGTTTTTGTGAAAGATGTAAAATAAAGTGCTCAGGTTTTTTCTTTTCTTTCTAACACTTTCTGAAACTGCTTTGTGCAAGTAAAAGATAGGTGAAAATTATTCATTGTGCTTCAAGTAGGTGCTAAATAGAAGGCTGGTGCTGAAGTAGGAAGCTGACTGCTCTTCTACAGTGACTGATCCTGATCCTGTGGTTCGTTCAGGATGGAGGAGTTTCCCAGGATGTTAGCAATGGCACGGGCCCTAGTCACCCATAACCACTTTTGTGGCAGGAGGGGGCCTTATGACCTGGGTTGGGTTTAGTCAAAGACAGTTTCTAAACAAAGTGGCTTTAAGGTAAACAGATTTTTCAGTATGTTTCCATGGAATTCTTGAGCTAGCGCTCCATTTTACAAACTCCCGTGGCTCGACTAGTCACAGCTTGCTCATGAGTTCAGAGTCTCTGCACCATGGCGTTGGATGTTTGCATAGCGCTTAGAAAAACTTAGAGGTGGAAAGCTGCACTGTTTGAGTTCTGGGGGAGAGGGGTGGGGGGCTAAGTTCCTTGCGAGGGATGTAAGCATGTGTTAATTGGTGGTGATGTTTGTGTTTGGGTCCAGTTCCTTGCATGTTATAGAAAAGAACACAGCAGGCAGGCACAGACCAACAAGTGCAGGGGCAGGAGGGAAGTGGTCAGGACATAGAGTTTTATATCATCAGCATGCATGGGAAAAGAACCGCAGGTCAGCAGGAGGGAACCATGTTAAAGGTGAAATGATATTAGCCTGACAGCCCAGCTGTGCAGTGTTGCTGGAAAGAGACTAGGACACAACTCTTCCAAGGCCCCAGGAAGAGATTAATGAGGCAAAAATCACAATAGCATGCATGCATTACTTTAAAATTTACAAAGAACATCATCTAAACATCTACTTTGTCCTCACTGGTTCTCATGACATAGCCTCAGATCAGGCCAGACAGAGATTAGTAACTTTATTCTTAGAAGTAGGGAACCCAGCTGGGAAGGAGAAATGGAGGGTCACATAGGCAGTTTAATAGGAGTCCAGAGCTGAGTCCTGGTCTTCTGCACCCTACCATACCAGGGAGCTTGCCTTGTAGCTTTTGATACTGTAAGAGTGAATAAAAACCAACCATGGTAAATCTGTAAGATTAGAATGTTCTTGATACGTGACTCCGTCTTCCCAAGTAAAGATGCAAGAAAAGACTGAATAACAAGAAAAGAAGCAGTTCCCCCTGGAAGACCCACAGATTAAAATGGACATGTGCAGAGCCAGTCTCTAGGGTGGTACCCGGGAGCAGTTGTTTAAGTAGTTAAAAACTTCTGTTGCTTTGCTTGAAAAATCTGCATGCTGATGGTTACTTCTATACAATATTAGTTACTTTTTTGTTGCTTTCTGTGACAAAAATCCCTGACAAAAGCAACTTAAAGAAGGAAAGGTTCATTTTGGCTCATAGTTTGAGGGGTGCAGTATCATGAGGCAGGAGTGTGGGGTAGCTGGTCATATTGCATTCACAGTCAGGAAGCAGCGTGCTTTCCTCTTTTTGTGCAGTCTGGATCTCAAACCTAGGGAATGGCGCCAGCCATAGTTAGGGTGAGTCTCCCACCACAGCCTAATCTAGAAAGTCCCTCACAGACTTGCCTAGAGATCTGCCTCTAAAATGTTTCTAGATTCTGTCAAGTTGAAAATTAATATAAACCATCACAGAAGGCATGCTGGAATGTTTTGATGACTGAATAAAATATTGTGGGTAATACATTGTTATGGTTGAATGTAAAGTATCCTCCACAGGATCCTGCCTTTGATATTTGGTCCTCCAGCTGCTTGGGGAGGTTGTTGAACATTTGGTCTGTGCCCTATCTAGAAGAAATGGGTGCTCAGGGGCAGGCCTTGAAGATTATATTGTTTCTGTTTCCTGTCTGAGCTCCCCCCCCCCTCCATTAATACATGGACATACCTCAGATACCTGCCTACCGCCATCTAGCAGTTCCCCATCTCTTCTCCATTAGCATGGACTGTTCCTGAAATGATGAGCTAACTACCTTCTTCCTTTAAGTTGCTTCTAATTGGGACAGAGTGATAAAGCAGTAAATAATACATACACCAAAGCCACCATTCGACATATGGTTAGTTATGAC